GGAGCGGCCACTGCACTCCAGTCTGGGTGACAGAGTGAGACTCCAACTGAAAAAAAAAAGTAGTTGAAATATGATAATACATTATGTAATTTAGACTAAATAAAGGAAGTGTGTACATAGAGAACACTGGAAGTTCATATACCAAAATGTCACCTGTGAGTTACTTTTTTTTAATGCAATTAAAAAGTGTATGTTGTAATGCTTTCTACAGTGAGCAGCATATTTCATCTGTGTAATGAAGGAATAAAAGTGTTTTCTTAACCTATCTAAAAGTATGACCTGTGGAGAAACGAGCACCAACTATAGGTAAATGAATGACTGAACTAACGGACAGAGCTTATCTGTGTGGTCAGTACCCCTCCAAAGCCAGTGGCTCTCTTTGGAAGCTTTCCAGAGGGCTGCATGTCGGATGGTTTTACAGTGATACAATTTTATTCTTATTTTTCCAGGTGCTGTTAAGCCAAGTGCACCGGCTGAGAGCCTTGGACTTGCTGGGAAGATTTTTGGACCTGGGTCCCTGGGCGGTCAGCCTGGTATGTTTCTTCTGCACTAACTGTAGGAAGGGGGAGTGCAGAGGTAGACTCCTTGTTATTGTCTGTGAACTTAATTTATAATCCAGAACCAAACACAACTATGTGACCTAGGGGAATTTCCTCCATGGCGACGTGCAGTAAATCCTGTACACTCAGAAGAACACACTCTGTGTGCCTGTGCAGCCTTCAGTGTTGCCCAGTGTTTGGTCTTTTTGCTTTTGTCTTGCCCTCTGTTTTTGTTGCATGCTAGACTTAGCCTTTGTAGGAGAGAGTGTTGTTAGCTTGCTACTTTTTGCAAAGCGGCCACCACTGCCACTGCTGAGAAGCAGGGAGCCTTTTAGCTGGCCACGTCCCGAGCTTTGCATGGCAGTTTTCTTCCGGGAGGAGTCTGTATCCTCATTTACTATCTTTTCCCTCTTATTTCAGACACAGTTCTAAAACAATCTTCTGAGCGTTCATTCTACAGAAGAGTAGAAACAGCTATTTAAAACAGAAAAGATTGGCAGAGACAGAATTGAGAAGCGATATTTTTTTTTTTAATGAATTAAGCACAAGGAAACTAAAAGGGAGATTGAAAGGGAAGGCACGGATTAAAGGAGACACAAGAGGCATATTGGCCAGTTGCCCTATCTAGACCTCACTTCATTCTATTGAAGTTTGAAAAATTAATATTCATGAAACAATTAGAAATTTTACATAAGCTGTATATCAGATATCATTAAAGAATAATTGTTCCATTTTTTTAGGTATGGTAATATGATAATTGATGAGGAGGTATTATGATCATATTTTTATTAAAAAGACCTTATTTTTTAGAGATATAAACTAAATGTTCTCAAAATGTGACCCTCAGATCATTTGGTGTGTTTGGTGGTATCACTTAGTTATCATGGAAAAGGTTGGATTGGATTGTTAATACTCTTTAAGAAGAAAGGGAAGCATGTATTTATAACATTTTAGAAACTGTTTCACTTATGAGGCTAATCTTTGAAAACTAATTTCAACCCTTTAAAGAATTAAGTTTATGCTAAATGGAAACTTTGTTAATATATGAACAGATGCTAGATAAATTTGTCTCTCAGGTGATGCCAAACCTGAACCAGAGAAATGAAATGCTCATTTCTCAGCAAGCATGGCCTTTAGCAGGGAAAGGACACAAGCCTTGCCATTGGACATTGGCCTGGTTTACACCACCTCTTCCTCATGGTTGCAGGGGACCCCATTTATTAGAGGGGGATACCTTTGGGATGTGTTTGGAATTCCGGCAACTTTGAGATAAGGACAGCAAAAAGACAGGCTGTTGAAAGTGGCTGGACTGCCCTGTTGTCCTCCACACTGCAAGTCCCCTTCCTCTGTCTTAACTTCCCTGCCTCTGAGCAGAGAGTTCTTCCAAGGATGACGAACTGCTAGAAACTGGCACTAGCAAACCCTTGGGAGAACTGAAGCTCCTCCCTGTCTTAACTGGGGCAGGTGTCTTTCCAGGTTCATCCTAATTGCAGTGTGAGTGTTGGAGCAAGCTGTCTGAACATGTTCTGGAAAGGCGAATGTGGCTGCCTACATGAGCACCTTCATGAAGGTGCCCAGTACTCTGCTGCCGAGGGCAGGCAAGGCCACTGAGGGCAATGACTCCTAGACACTGAGGCAGCAAGGGCCTTGTTGATGAACTGCCACTAGATCAGTTCCGCTCTCTTTAGACAAATCATGCTGGAAATACCCGGCAACTTCTGGGAATAAATCAGAGAAGAATAAATCTGGAGGAAGCCCTCTTTAAGTAAGGCACACGCATTCCTGTCACATTTCCCATATGTACTGAAATAACAGCCACAGCTGTGTCTCAGAGTGGTACCCCTCACCACCTGCGCCACCCTTGTTCCCTGGCAGGCAGGAGCAGGGGCCATGGCACACACTGATGCGCTCCTTCTCCCTTCAGGCCCTGTCTGTCGGCATCTTCCCCTACGTGCTGAAACTGCTCCAGAGCTCAGCCCGAGAGCTGAGGCCACTTCTCGTTTTCATCTGGGCCAAGATCCTCGCCGTGGACAGTGTGAGTCACCTCTGTCTGTCCTCTCCAGGGGTACTGCTAACCAGCCAGTCCCTTCCCTGGCTGAACCCCTGACTTACCCACCCCCCATGATAGCAAGTGCTCGGCCCAGACAGGGTACAGGAAGCGCAGGTGAGAGTGGGACTGGGTCCCTTCCATGCTGGCCCATGCACCTCTGTCCCTCCCCTTCCCCTAGCTCCCCTCCTTCTCAAGAGCTCCTGGCCCCTTTCTCTCTTCCAGGGTTAAGTAAAATGCCCTACTCGGTGATCAGCCCTGGCTCATGCGTGGCCATCAGCTGACTTGTCCTGGGCTTCCCTTGGTGCCCCGCACTCTGCCATCAGCTGACTTGTCCCGGGCTTCCCTTGGTGTCCTGCACTTTGTCCCTCTTCCTGTCCCTGACTGACCATAAGGCCGTTCTCTGGGTCCTGACCATGGCAGTAAATGATCCTGATCAAAACTTGGGCCTGCCTCACCCATAACCCACATCAACGCCTTCTGTCCCTACTGTCACTTTTCTGTCCCCCAACTGTGAACATGTGAGCAGCAGCACTGAGGCCCAGCCGGCCACCTCTAAGTCGCAGCATGGTCCAGGCATAGGTTATGGCAAGGGAGTTTCCTGATGGAAAGTATCACAGCATGTTTGCTTCTGTTGTGAATGCTGTTTTCCTTACATTTTCTGTTTGGCTATTGTGGACATATAGGGCCCTTATTAATTTTTGTTTCTTGATCTTATACAGCAACTTCGTTGAATTCTTATTTGTTCTAATAGTTTACCTGGAGGTAATATTTCCATATAAATCATATACTGTCTGCAGACAAAAACAATCTATTATCTCTCTTCCAGTTCTTGGATCTCTTACTTATTTTGGGGGTCTAAGATCACTGATCAGGACTCTAATACATCCTTGAATGGTTGCAGTACTTGAGAGATCATGAGTGTATTCCTGATTTTCATGATCTTCCTGATACTGGAAACTGCCTCCTCCCTCTTCTCAGTTCATCTGAGGCTGACCTTGACTTCAGTTCAACCTAGGCCCAGTATTCTCTGCACCTGGCTTTGATCAGCGAATACTCTCTAATGATGACCAGAATATCATATGTTTCAACAAAATATTTGCCTTGCTGTCCATTATAACTAACTTCTGTAAACAATGACTGCTTTAAAAGACTGGCCAAAACACTGAATTTAAGAATTAAAAAACTAAATTTGAGTTTCATCACATTTACCATAGCAAGCCAGTTTCACTTAGCTTTGCCATCATTTGCCTCTCTGTAAAACCATGGCAATGACACTCAGGCCGTCTGCTTGCAGCCACAGTTACAGAGATCAGAACCATGGTATGGAAGTCTGTTTTGTAAATTATAGTGGAACAGAATCATTAAGGGAATATATGTATAAATCTCATGTCTCTCTTGCCTGTATCTGTTACACTAAAGCTTTTCCTTGCTAAACTGAAAACTTGGTTTTGTGGATCAGGAAGCTATACATTTAGATTTCTATTCTATTCTTCATAAAATTCATTAGAGAGCCAAGTTATGTAAACAAAAGGGCTCTGATCAGGTAATCATTTTGAAACTTGGCTTATCTCCTACTCCAGTATTCATTATTATCTGTATCGGCACATTTAGAAATTTATTGACACTGTTGCTTGGCAGCTGGCCATGGATTAAGGCCTATTAATTAAGGATTCCTGGATGAACAAAATGGAGATTCTAATTTGACACAAAGCCCAGGGTGTGGGGACAGAAAAGAAGCCACCTACAGAACAGTGGGTCTGGGATTAAGGCCACCTGAGTCTGCTCCCCTGGCCCTGCCCCAGTCCTGCCAGTGTTGCATGAACATGTTGAAGCCAACTGATTCTCCGACTTACCAGCATTTTTAGTAACTTTTTGTACCTGAAATAGATTGTCTTTATTTTTAGTCTTAGGAATGGCTATTTCTGAAAGTAGATGATCTCTTTTTTAAGTGTACTTTACCATTACATTGTCACTGAGTTTACTGCTGATTGTTGTACTGCAATATAAGGAATCTTGTTAACTGCCTCTTGGTCCCATTTATCTCCCAGGGATCTGCTGATTTCTAGTCCCAAGATGGCAGAGCTCAGCCATGATTACAAATGCTGTAGTCCACCTTCATTTTACACCCTGCTCAAAGAAAATTTCAGGGCCCTGGGTTTAATATGTGCACAATGCTGAAGGAATTATATGTTTAATACTGCTTGAGGAGCTGTTCCTACTGCCCAGCTGGAAATGCCCTTGCCTGCAGTGTTCTTGTAAATGCCTGCAGGCACGTGGACCATCCTGTAAATTAATTTCTTAACCAGCTTGTTGCACCTGTTTATTTAAAAGCAATCATTCCACTGAGGGACATTTTGAAATATCTCTGATTGCAATTGATCCTAATTTACCTCATCCTTCCTTTTCATAATTATGACTTCCTGGCCATAATATCCCAGAGATGAAAGTTCCGTGTGTTTTTGAGGCATTGTTCCTCTATACCCCTCCCCTTCTCATGTCTGGCCATGCTGTGTCGCTGGTGGTCCTCTGTAGCTGCTTCCATCCACTCCTTTGATGTGTGCCTCCTGTAGCATTCAGTGACTCTTGAGTTCACAATAGGCAGCGCATATTGCATTACACAGATGGGTACACTCATGAAAGTCAGAGAGCCTGCTCAGAGGTGCAGTACGAGTCTGGCCAGTCCCTTAGTACTCTCAGCATCTCCTGTGCTGCTGCCAGCCAGTGTGCCCTTGTGGCACATTCTGAGAGTTCAAGAAGGATGGGAGCCTGCTCAGGCCCAACTGAAGGGTGAGTCTGGGACCTCTCTTAACTCCCAAGCCACTGTTTGAGCACTCACTATGTGCCATTATGCCAGAGGCTCCTAAAGGATTCATGGAGTACACAGAAATTATCTAGGCAATAAAGAAGATGGGCTTTGTCTAGACAGAAGAAAAGAGAGAGATCTCAGGAAGAGGAATGAGGTAAAGAAAAATCCATGTGCTATTTGAGTGAGGAGGACAGTGTACATTATAGAGACACTGGTTTGACATGGACAGCATGGCGCAGAACTAGGAGATAATGAGAGCACATAAGGAAAGCCTTCTCTCCTGATAATCTCCAAGGAATCTGATCCCAGAGGGTCTTTTCCAAAATCACTTCCTATACCATGTTCCTCTATACTTAGCACTGCCAACCAGAAATTACCAGGCAAGTGAAGAATCTGGAAAATATCCCTATGGAGGAGAAAAAAAATCATTCTATCCAAACCTACTCAGGACTGTTGTGCATGTTAGAATTAGCAGGCAGGGACATTAAGACAGTTAATAGAAGCCTATTCCACATATTCAACAAGTTAAAGATGAGACATGGAAGATATAAAAAGGTCCCAAGTCACATTTCTAGAGATAAAAACTATAATATGTGACATGAAAGATATGCTTGATAGGATTAACTGTGGATTAAGCATTGCAGAAGAAAACAGCAATAGAAACTATCCAAATGAAGCATGGTGAGAAAATAAAAAATTTTTTTAAAAATTAGAGCACCATTAAGTTGTGGGACAAATGCAAGTGATGTAGCATATGGTATTTGGGGGTCTCTAAATTTTCTGCCTGGGCAGAAAAAAATTTGAAAAAATAATGGCTAAAAATTTTAATCCAAGAAGGTTATTGAACCCCAAGCACAAGAAACATGAAGAAAACTATACCAAGACACATCATAATCAGTTTTCTTAAAAACAGTGATAAGTTTTAAAATCCAAAAAGCAGCCAGTAAAAAAAAGGGGGGAAACCAAGGAACAAAGATAAGAATGACAGCAGATTTCTTATCAGAAGCAACAGGAACAAGTAGACAGTGGAGCAGCCTTTTTTTTTTTATCGATATTTTTTATTTTGATATTGTGGGGTACAGTTAAGGGTTAGGTATACAAATATGCTTCATTCAGGCCCCCTTGTTGATAACAGGTGTCTCCCCGTCTCCAGACAGATGTTTACTACCATTAGTCCCATTCCTCCCCCCATAGTTTCCCAACACTGTCAGTCATTTTCTTATAGTAGTGCATTGGATGATCAAGGTCCACTATATGAGTGAGAATATGTGATACTCAGATCTTTGTTTCTGTGAGAGGTCACTTAGTATTATAGACTCTAGCTCCATCCAGGTTGCTGCAAAATTCATGATTTTGTTCTTTTTTATGGCTGCATAGTATTCCATCGTGTATATGTACCACATTTTTTTAATCCAGTCCTCTTTTGATGGACAGCGTGGCTGGTTCCAGGTTCTTGCTATTGTGAACAATGCTGCAATAAACATTTGTGTGCAGTTATCTTTTTTATAGAGTGATTTGAGTTCTTCAGGGTATATTCCCAGTAGGGGGATTGCAGAGTCATATGGGAGGTTGATGTTTAGAGATTTTAGGAATCGCCACACTGCTTTCCACAGAGGTTGCACTAGTTTACACTCCCACCAACAGTGTAGAAGTGTTCCCTTTTCACCACACCCTCTCCAGCAGCTGTTATTTTTTGAGTTATTGATAATTGCCATTCTGACTGGAGTTAGGTGGTATCTCAGTGTAGTTTTGATTTGCGTCTCCCTGATTAATGAGGTTGAGCATTTCTTCATGTGTCTGTTGGCTTGGAGCAGCCTTTTTAAAGGAGTAAAAAAAATCCTGTCAACCTAGAATTCAGTGAAACATGTTTCCCAAATAGAGGCAAAATAAAGACTTTCAAAGACTTACAAAAGATGAAGGAACTCATCACCAGTAGATCCATACTACGAGAAATGTTAAAGTTCTTTAGGCTGAAGAAAAATAATATGAGGGAAACAATGTTGTACAGAAAGGAGTGAAAAGCACCAAAAATGAATACTGTGTGGATGAACATTTTTTTCTTGTTATTTAAATATCTTTAAAAGATAATTGTTTAAACAAAAACCATGTACTATGGAGTTTATAACATTTGTGAAAGCAAAATGTATAGTAACAACAACAAAAAGTTGGTAGAAAAGAT